GAAGAATCCGACACGGGAAAATTGCGGACCCCAGAATAAATTGGCCGTCGCCAGCAGGAAGGTGTCCCGCCGTGCAAAAGTGTCATGGCGCCGGAGAAACATCTTCAGGAAATCTTGGACCCGAGGAGATCATGCGTCCCGGATAAATTTGGCTGCCATCTGCAGGAAGATATCCCGTCGCGCGACAGTGGCACGACGTTGGAGAAATGACTTCAAGAAGGAAACTCCCCAGGGAACCTTCGGATACCGGAGAAAGGACTTGGCACCAAGGTCTCNTTACGTCGAGGTAAGAAATTTCCGATGAAAGACCTGATGAAGGTTTGGACCTTGTGGAGAGGACGACCCCCTCCAAAACGAAAAAAGAGAATTCAAGCAGAGGAGGAACCGGTAGTGTAGAAGAACCGGCCTCCCAAGGAAGAATGAAAGCGTTGGATGAATGGGACACAACTGGATCTTCTGGCGAGCTGAAAGGAAACCGCTCCAGACGAGCTTTGTCTAAAGAGGGGAGCGGATGTAACAGACGAAGAATAGTCGCTGCAAGAAGAGTAGCCGGAACAACGGGAGACACCGCAAGCACCACCACCGAGGAAAAGGAACGGGGATGCACCGTTAGGCTATTTGGGATGAACAGCCTTAAGGAGGGAGCAGTGTGACATGTGACCCCTACCTCCCCGGCGGTAACGTAGCGCTTGCGTAATAGACGAGTAATCACCCCGAATCCTGGTAGCTATGCAACGCGCGGTGACGTCACCGAGGGATATCGCGGTTGCTAGGCAGCAGTCAACAACTCCGGACAGCGTGGCTAGCAACAAGGCACCAGACGACAATTGTCCGATCAAGGCTACATAAGGAGCAGCGAAGGCTATTCACAGTCAGTTGTACTGTGACAGTCAGTCAGTCAGTGAGTCCTCGAGCTACCTCCGAGTTAGTTCCGAGTTAGCCAGCAACCAGCCAGTTGTATTGTGGCATTTGGAGTGTACTATTTGTGATACTGCAGATAGCAGTAATCGTAAATCTGTAATTTGGGTGATTGTAAGTGCGAATGTGAAATAAAATTCGCTACATCAAATACGGCGTGAAGTTATTTGTCGCAATATACGCCCAATACACGACAATATATTGGGCAAAGAGGCCAAAATTTAATAACAAGATATAAGGAACACATAAGAAACATAAGATCTAATAAAGATGAATCAGCCTTCGCCCAACACCTATCAGATAAAGATCACCAATACAAGCCTATTGAACAAATTATGGATCTGATCAAATATGCCAGAGAGGGTAACATCATGAATAAAAAAGAAAATTACTATATTTACAAATTTAAACAACTTAAGGAATTAATAGAAGAACAAAAGATAATGATAACCAGAATAGTATGTTCGACATAACATTAAGACATGAGTACATGCCCATAAATATGTTAAAGGGAACAGGGATATAAATATTCCACACAACACACCACAGATCAGTGCATCAACACACACTGAAACGGGTAACAGCGTGACAACATACAGGTAGGAACACACTAGAACTCAAAGAAATATTAAGTACATCGACTTCTATATAAAATACCCATAATACAATTGCAGATTCCTAACCAACTATAATAAAAAAGGGGGAAAAGACAGCCACTACCTCTAAGGAGGACAATATCTTCCCCAATCTCTAGTTGATAGAACAGGCACAAGGACACAAATCTTAGTGGTTTAAGATTTTAAATACAGTAAACTGTGGCTTAAATGGACCCTTTATTAAACAGAATTTGTCTTAAATGGAAATATTTTCAGGTCCCATGACTCTGGGGCTGGAAAAGATGTTAGAAGTCCTGGATTAAACGGAAACCGTCTAACATAGAAATGGAAAACAAAATAAGCCATTATATGGAAAATTTCCAATCTTCCAGAATGCATTCTTTAGAAAAATTTCAGGCATCCTATACATTCTACAGAGTTTTGTTTTCTCCAACTCTTTCAATTCAGCTTTTAATGGTACTGCACTACCTGCACTGAAATTCAAATGAACTGTCTGCCCCAGCCGGAAATTTTATGCAATAAGGGCTCTAGGACTACATTTTTACTTTACTCTAGCAGATGTCACCATGGCTACAAAGACAAGAGTTGTGCTTGATCTTAGCACAAAAGTAAAAGTGATTCATGTGAGTGAGCGAGATAAATTGTCTGTTACGCAGATCATAAGGTGTGTAAAGCTGGTAAAACTCAAGCGTATGAGATTCTAAAGAAGAAAATGGAAATTTTGAAGTGGTGGGAAAATTGTGCTAATGGAAAAAAAAGGATAATGTAAGAAAACTGAAAACAAAGACGTTAATGAAATAGTGTGGAAGTGGTTTGTCAGTGTCAGGGTTAAAATCACCACGTGTCGGGTCCTATGGTACACGAATATGCTGAAAAGATCACTGAAAAACTGGAGAAGACTGAATTCAATGCATTTAACGGATGGTTGGAGAGTTTTCGCAAAAGACATCAGATAGTTTTTAATGAACTTTGTGGTTAATCAAGTGATGAAAATAGTGAGACCAATGAGAAGTGGGTAGCTAAACTGCCATTCATAATTGAGGGATATGAACCTGAAAACATAGGAAGAGAGGAGGAAGAGGAAAATGATACTGTGATAGAAGAAGAAAAGCGTAGAGTGAAGACTTAGCAACATGTTGTCAAAAGTTTAAAGGAATTTGCCGTACAACGGAATAGTGTAATTTCTCAAGCTAAAGTGTTTGTGGAAAGTCAGGCAGCCAAGAGAGTAAACTGCATGCAAAAAACTCTGCCGGAGTTCTGGTAAAATTATAAAAAGTGAGTACTGCAATTTTTTTTTCTGTTCAGTGTAATGTCTCCATGTGTTCAATTATTATAGTGTAAATAAATTAATGAGTATGGTGTTTTATTTTGTCTCAAATATGTGCATGTCCTGGTTTAATTATTATAATATACCTCATAAAAGTAAAAGGTAAAGCCATCCCTGTAACAGGTCATTGAGGTCCATACGGTTGTGAGATGTTGAGGTTCCCACATTTACTAGACAGTTGACTCATAGATGGCAGTAAGGTTGTCAACCCTACGCACTGGCCATCCTTTACCCACCAAGAATATTCCAAGAATATTGCTGGTACACATTTCTGTTAGAGGCTGAGTCAACCCCAGGGCCATAGTGCGGCTGGAAGGATTAGGTCAATTGAAAAAAACCCAATGACCTCATAGGGACTTGAACCCACGACCTTCCAGCTTGTAGCATAGTGATAGTATACCTTAATTAAACAGAGACCTGGCTTTAACAGAAAAATGTTCTGGACCCTTGAGATTCTGTTTAAGACGGGTATTACTGTATTCAGAATTTTAACAATCTTTAACTAAACAACAATTTGTCTTAATTAGAATCTTTACATAAAACTTTGTTTCAATTTGATGTACTATGACCAATGTAACAGTAGTTTCCTCAACATGTTGTGCCTTCTGAGGATGGTTGTTTACTGACTGAAACGTGTAAATACATCATATAAACATACATCTGAGTCACACTGGATGGTGTCAAACCATTCTATAATATCTAACTAGTGTGATGGAAGAGAATGAATAAAGTTAAACTTATGTAAGATCTGTTCATTGGCTCTCTAACAAAAGACAGATACAGTGAAGCTAATAGATGCATCTCTTTAATATTTAAGTCAAAATGAACAAAAAAAAAATCATACCATAGTAAACATAATCGCCTGCACTGAATTTACGAGGGTTGTACTGAAAGTCATGAGCAACATTTTTTTGTAAAGTAACATGCTTTATTATTGACAAACCAAATACACCACCTCAATCTACAGACCTATCTTTATTTTTCCACATAATCGCCACTTCTTTGTACACATTTCTCCCAGCATCCTGGGAGTTCGAAAATTCCCCTTCTGTAAAATTCCGTTCCAGCCATCCGAAGACACTGATGCACTGCTTTCTGAATTGCCTCCCCTGTCTCAAAACGTTGTCCACACAGCTGATCATTCACGAATCCGAAAAGATGGTAGTCGGAGGGTGCCAGATCAGGGCTATAGGAGGGGTGTGGAAGAACTCCCCCCACCGCCTTCTTTGCAATTGCTTCCAATGTGAGGTGATCGGCATGGGGGCAAGCATTGTCATGCAGGATGATGATGTTTTGTCCTGGACGTTTATCGCGCAATGCACGACGGAGCTTGTGCAACGTCTGGACATAACAAGCAGCACTGATGGTTTGCCCAGGTTCCAGGAATTCGGCCAGAATAAACCCCTCTGCATCCCAGAAGACTGTGCCCATCACCTTTGCAGCTGATGGCACTGTCTTTGCCTTCTTTTTTGATCGAGAATGCAAATGGTGCCATTCCATACTCTGCTGTTTCATTTCAGGCTCAAAATGGTGAATCCAGCTTTTGTCACCTGTCACAATACAGAGCAAAATATCATTGCCTTCGTGTTGACATATCTGCAGCAGTTCTGGGGTGATGACTTTTTGCTCACCTTTGTGATCTTCAGTCAATAACTGCAGGACCCAATGAGCACAAACTTTCCTATAGCCCAAGCTTTCAATCACCTCCTGTACTGCACTGTGCCCTATTCCAAGTTTTCAGGCTATTGTGTCCACAGTCACATGCCTGATGCCTGTCATCTTGAATGATCTCATCCACTCTTTCCTTGTTGCATTCAGTTGAGGCTGTTCGAGGATGACCGCTCCGAGGCTCATCTTTGATGCTGGTGTTCCCATCTTTAAAATGTTTCACCCATCTTCAGACACTGCTCGAACCCATGCACACACTTCCATAATCACGCTGAAGTCTCTGGTGAATTTCTGCAGCAGGGATTTCCTCTTTCACAAGAAATTCGATGACAGCACGCTGGCGAAACGACATCACGTTGTCGGCCAATTTGTTAGGAGTGATACTGGTCACGTGATGCAAGCTACTGACGTCACAAGACACTTAAGGTTAACACAACAGCTGATTCCACCTACCACCGTACTCTCTTTTGTCTGCTGTTCCAAAGTTGCATGCAAAAAAAAGTTGCTCATGACTTTCGGTACGACCTACGTACATTTTTTAGAATATAGAAATCTTGAAATTACTAGGCTATGAGGTGTGACTTTCTATCACATGGCAAATTATATAAGCAGAGGCAGTTCTTGAAAGTCTTCAGAGTTTTGTGGAACAACAAGGATATAACAGCTGCTAGGAGAGAACTATAAATATTTCCAAATTTTTTCAGCCAGTGGCAAAATGACTGAAATAGGCTTCTAGCCTGGCCTTATATGGAACTTGACTTAAAAGGCTGGGGCATTGCCTCACTCATGTTGACCCCTTGTTTTGGAGAAAAAAGTTACTAAGCTGTATAGAAATTTCATAAATCATTTGATTTGATCCTCTGCAATGTACTGCTTTACTTGTTCTGTACCAGGCATGAACATAGGAAGACAAACACACTTAAAAAGTGTAATGTGAGAATTCCTGTTGGTGTTTTGAAGCCTACCACACTAAGTACAGGCTGTACTGGTCTAAGTGCATGGGGAAACCCACCCTCTCCAATAACTAACTAACTAAGTACAGGCTGTGATGTAGTGTAAGTCTCTGGAACCAGAAATCACTTCACCAGACATACAGGCAATAGAAAAGTTTTCTGTTATATTTCCTGTGCGACACTAGTGAGTAACAACAAAAGAGTCAACTCACGCATCACCAGATCAGGTGTAAATACTCATACAATATAAAGACCAAGGTATGGCTAGGCAGTCAGTCAAAAATCAAAACACTTCAGTACAAAATTTCATGCAAAAACCTTCCTTCCTTTTGACAGTGCTTCTATCAAGAGTACGAAAGATGAAGTATTAGAAATAAACATTATTCTAGAAGTTGCATTACTTACAATGTAATACTGCACTGAATCTGATAAAACAATGATAACAGTTCCACATTCTGGAACATCAAGCACACTCACTTTGAAACAGTAACCGAAACTTCATATTGCAGACTATTCTTCGGAAGGGAGGATAACAATTTCTTTTGAGCCTATTTAGTAACAAGTCTAATGCTCTGTCTAAGTCATATGCTGAGAGTATTCATGAAAATTATAGGTATTTCCTCATTTTCATGTGATGTCAATACAACAACAATTCTGGATTTTGCTCACAACTTGCTTGTCCCACATCTGTGAAAAATATTCATGAATATACCACAATATGAATCACACATTTTGACCGAAATCTACACTATTATCAATTGGATGCTGAGCACATTATATGCAGAAACACTTCACAGCACTCTGTCTACCTGGGATTTTAAACAAAGTAACATCCTGCGATGGCAGTTTTCTTTGTTGTTGTGTAATTCTTTTGTAAATTAAATTTTATACATGTATTTTATGCATGCTGACTGATAAACTCTGCAGTGGCAGGCCATAATAGGGCTTGTATAGAAGGTGTGATGCAAGAGAACAGGTTACTGCAAATGCCAGTATTTCCATCAGTATAGCATATGACATCAGACAAGGTGGTGAGGTGGAGTCCAAGCAACTGAGTGCAAAGCATGAGGCACTGCAAATGGGACACCAGCTCACACTACTTCAACATTACTCAAACATCACAAGTTCTTTTGTCAGGTTCATCACCTGGACACTGCATGTAGTGTCAAAAGATGGAAATGCACCACACAAGACTGTGAAGTCTGCAGCGAAGATAATGTTTGTGATGCATTTTTCACTCAATTCGTAGAACACAGAGCAAGAGTGAATGAATAGCATTACTGCACAGCACCATGCACATGAAGAAAGCTACATAGAGAAAAAACCCTGGCTTTCTCATTCCTGGAGCATTTCCTGATGAGAATGTCATGCCCATATTATATACAGCTGGGATCTTCCATCTAGCAGCTTTCGTATCTGCAGATCACTGAGGAAGCACTTTGAAGGATAACATTTCTGATGTGGCCATGAGGTCAAAAATGAGTAGTGCTGGTGGGTGCAAACACTGACCACTGATTTCTTCTCCATGGGAACTAAACAGTTTGTGTATCACTGGGACAAATGTCTCAGTTATTCTGGCAATTATGTGGTTAAATATAGAGCTTCTTTGTTATTCCTTCTGTTTTGGACATCCAAATTGCCAAAACAAATAAAGAATATGTTACTGCACAACCTTCACATTTTCTTTCACTAATCTTGCAAACAAGCATGACTTATTATATGGAAACATCCTTAATTTACAGAGTTGGATGTGCAATACATTCCTTAAGTGATACATTCAGCATATAAAGATAATGAAATCAACAGCAGTTTTGCTGTCATTTTTGAAAATACGAGTATCCAACATGTCAAGACATAAATAAACTTTAAACAAGTTACAAGCTATTCATGCTAGACTAAAAAGTAACAACTTTCTCAAACAGTTATTCATACAAGCAGAGGGCCAAATTGGACTCCATCCAGTACTGCCTGACATCTACAGAATGAGTCCTTCATATGACAAACCTTCAGATTCAGGAGATTCCAACCTGTTGCGAAGATGTTCCAGCGTGTTCGTGAAATGCTTATTTATTTGCTCTGTCTCCTCATTAGCCTCAAGGTTGGGTAATTCTTCTCGTATTTTGCCAATCAGTTGATTCAGCACCTGTACTGAAACCTAGCACAATAAAACAATAATGATGCCTGCAACACTTTTAAAACCAAAACAAGGAAAAAATAAAATTAGAAGTGAATGATGAGGATATAAATCTCCAATATACATCACATGTTCTCAGTTTTAATGAGGTCAATGTTCCATGAATTATATGACATTTATTATTATTCTTAGTGGGGTGAGAATGAGTCTACTCGGTACTCTGGCCAATACTGGCCTACTGTACTAATGAAGGTGACAGATGTTGGTGATTGTGGAGCAAGTGACAGAATGAATATTGGCTGGGGAAACTGAAGTACTCGGTGAAAACCTGCCCCAGCGCCACTTTGTCCACCAAAAATCTCACATGACCAGACCCGGGCTCAAACCCGGGCCACTGTGGTGGGAAGCCAGCGACTGACCTAGTATTAACTTCCATTATCCCTTGTGTAACTTAACTGTCTTTCAAAAGGGAACATATTAATTAGGAATTAAAATTTTTAATAAACTTCCACCTAATATAAAAGACCAAGCTCATGAGATTAAAAAGAAATTAGGTCTGCTGTTAAAAGATTCCTATTTTTAAATTAATTTTATTCATTGGACGAATATTTTAACTGTGACAACAATTAAAGTTTTGGATTTGTTACGGGTGGTACCTGATAGTGCTTTATTGTTATAGATGATGGTTTTTGTTCCTGTTGTATATTGTTAATATTTTTAACTGGTACGACATTACACAATTGTGATGCAGTATGTGATGTTTACTCATGTATATATCCATTGGTGTTTAACCATGTAAGGATTTATGGAATGCTGAATAAATGAATGAATGAATGACTACCTGAGCTATGGCGCGGCCTATGTAACATCTAAAAAGGCAAACCCTCAAAACACATACAGAATACTTTTTATTGCCATATTTTCTCATGTACTGCTGCTTCTGACATGAAGCATATATTATTAATTCATAAGAAATTATTAAGAAAGTGCAGCTACAGAGGACAACATTACAAAGGAGTCATGACAAATATTCAAGCACTCACCTGTTCATTATCCTTCTCATAGAAGTAAATGTAGTGATTTAGCAGTTCAACAAACAGCTGAACTTGAACGGATGGGTCCATACACTGGTTTCCAATTCGAACACCTTTCTTAAGGCACTCCAAAACTCGTTTTCCATCACGCATCTTGGAAAAGAAACACCAACAGCAATCATGTCATCATGTATGATAACTGAAAATTTACTTATACCAGGAACTGTCAGAACTTATTGGAAAGACAAGGTTATTATGAACTGAAGAAGCATAAGACATGGTTTGATGAAGGATACTCAAAATTATTAGACCAAATGAAACAAGCCAAACTGCAGTGGTTACAGGATCCAAGTGAAATAAAGGAAGATAATCTGAACAATATAAGACGCGAAACCAGGAGGCATTTCAGGAACAAAAGAGGGAATATCTGAAAAACAAAATTGATGAGCTTGCAGTGAACAGTAAGAACAAGAACATTTGAGACCTGTATAGAGGAATAAATGACTTTAACCATCTCCAGCCGTCATGTTTAGGAAGATTTCCATAGTCACATTGTCAGGGATTTTTAAATGCCTGCCGAACCACTAAGTGAACGGTTTTGACTGACAAGTTGGTGCAACAAGGGCATAAAGTTAAAAGACAAAAGTGTACCTACATTTTTGATTGTCCAATTCTTGGGACACCTCAACACTGCTATAATATGAGAGTGAAATCATGGTACACTGAGTCACAGTCTGTCCTTTAAGGAAAGAACTATTCTTGAATTCAATGGCTTTTCAGAGTATGGTAAGTTTCACATGTCGCCTGTAAGTTTTCCATAATGTGGAATTATACTGTGAACGTAACCAGTGTCACTTTCAGCTAATGCAAACAATCTGATGAATCAAGTCTTTTTTTTTAATATAAGTTTCAAAAATTATTTTGCACATGAACCAAACTGTTGATTCATCTATTACAATGTTTTTACCTGGTACAAAATTTTTCTGAAATTGTTTCTCTATATATTTTAACACCCTATGTACGTTCTTGTCTTTTTGATGGCCCAATTGCATTATTTGTTGGCATCATTGCCCATTGTTCTTCACTCAACATATTACTACTAGAGTATTCATCAGCATCAAACAAAGGATTCTATCTAGTTTCTTCAATTCAGAGGGCCTTAGTTTGGCTGAACATAAAAGCATGCTACTCGCTTACTCGCTATTAACACATGGCAAGCTGTAATATATAAATGGCTTTCATTCCTCAAGAAGTTCAAATTATGACTTCCAGAGAGCAGGAAGAGGCTGAAAAAACATTCATGCATGCGTTCGTATAGTCTGCAGTGCCAACTAGTGACATATGATCCAAACATGAAACAAATTTTGTCAACAGTTTATCCACATTTGTCCACAGAAGCACAGTCATAATGTTGATTATATATCGGTGTTTGACTGGAAAGGATTAAGAGGGGTTACCAACCAAGGAGAAACTTAGTGGAGGATGAGAATGGTGATCTGCTTGTAGATTCCCACAAGATTTTGAATAGGTGGAGGAACTACTTCTCTCAGTTATTGAATGTACATAGGGTCAGTGATGTTAGGCAGATAGAAATCCATAAAGCTGAGCCGTTAATACCTGATCCTAGCCCTTTTGAGGTTGAAAGTGCTATTGCACAATTGAAACGGTATAAATCGCCAGGTACTGATCAAATTCCAGCAGAATGTATTCAAGCAGGAGGTGAAACATTATATTCTGAGATCCATAAGCTAACGTATTCTATTTCGAATAAGGAAAAATTGCCTGATCAGTGGAAGGAGTCTATTATTGTACCAGTTCACAAGAAGGGTGATAAAACTGACTGTAGTAATTATTGGGGGATATCACTGCTATCAACTTCATACAAAACTTTATCCAATATTTTTCTCTCAAGGTTAAGTCCATACATAGATGAATTTATTGCAGATCGTCAGTATGGGTTTCGACGTAACAGATCAACTACTGATCAGATCTTTGGCAGTTGTCAGATACTGGAGAAGAAATGTGAGTACAATGAGAGAGTACATCAGCTATGCATAGAGTTCAAGAAAGCCTATGATTCAGTTAGGCTGATTAAAATGTGTTTAAACGAAACATATTGTGACGTGTCGCGCTAGCTGGACGCCCCCCTCCCCGGGAGCTGACACGCAGAGCGGAGCCGAAGTTAGCCGAATCCCCGCAACCTGGTAGCTATGCAACGCGAGTCAAAAGCGGTGACGTCACCGAGGGATACCGCGGTTGCTAGGCAGCAGTAAACAAATCCGGACAGCGTTGCTAGCAACACTGGGCCAGACAACAACGGTGCCTGTTATGTGGCTGTTTTCTGAGTTGTCCGGAATGAGACTACATAAGGAGCAGCGAAGGCTATTCACAGTTAGTTCTCAAGGCAGCTACCTACGAGTTAGTTCCGAGTTAGTTACGAGACACAGTTCTCAAGTTCTGAGTTAGTTCCGAGTTATCAGCGATTAGTTCCGAGCAAGCCTACGAGTTAGTTTTCAAGGCAGCTGTTACAAGTTAGCCAGCAACCAGTCAGTTGTATTCTGGCATTTGCAGTGTAGTATTTGTGATACTGCCGATGGCAGTAAGTGTCAGATTGTAATTTCGGTGATTGTAAGGGCGAATGTGAAATAAAATTTGCTATATCAAATACAGCGTGAAGTTATTTGTCTCGTTATACACCCAACACGTGACAATATATTAAAGTCCATATAGGCTAACATTTGCCTGATAATTTTCCTATCCAGAATGGTGTAAAACAATGAGATGCTTTATCACCACTGATTTTCAACTTTGCTCTAGAATATGCCATTAGGAAGGTCCAGGAAAACCAGTTGGGACTGCAATTAAAGGGGAGACATTAGCTGTTGGTCTATGCTTATGATGCGAATCTACTGGGTGATAATATACATACCATAAAGAAAAACATAAAAAAAGTAAAGCTATCCCTGTACCAGGCCATGAAGGCCCACAGGATTGGGATACGTTGAGTGTCCCACATTATCTAGACAGTTGGCTCAAAAATGGTGGTAAGGTTGTCAGCCTTATGTGCCGGCCGCATTTTACTTCCCAGCAAAATTATTTAATTCCTGGTACTCATTTCTGTTACAGGCTGAGTCGACCCCAGGGCCATAGTGTGGGTGGAAGGATTAGATGAAATGAAAAAATTCAATGACCTCATTGGGACTTGAACCCGCGAACTTCTGGCTTGTAGCATAGTCCCTCAACCAACTACGCTACCACGTTCCCCCTAAAGAAAAAAGAAACATAAAAACTTTAATTGATGCTAGTAAGAAGGTTGTTCTAGAAGTAAACACAAGAGGAAAGTGAGTATATGTTGCTGCCTCATCACCAATGTGCACGGCAAATTCATGACAGAAAGATAGCTAACAGATGTATTGAAAATGTGGCACAGTTCAGATATTTTGGAATGACCACAGCAAATCAAAATCTGATTCAAGAGGAAATTAAGAGGAGAATGAACCTGGGGTAATGCTTGCTACCATTCAGTCCAGAACCTTTCGTCTGCTGTCTAATAACATAAAAACTAGAATATATAAAACTATAATTTTGCCTGTGGTTTTGTATGGGCGTGAAACTTGCTCTCTGATATTAAGGGAGGAACATAGACTGAGGGTGTTTGAGAACAGGGTGCTGAGAATATTTGGACTGAAGAGGGATGAAGTGATAGGAGGTTGGAGAAAACTGCATAATGAGAAGTGTCGCAACTTGTACTCTTCGCATAGTATAATCAGAATGATGAAGACAAGGAAGATGATATGGGCAGGGCATGCAGCACGAATGAGAGAGAAGCGAATGCATGTAAGATAATGGTGGGAAAGCCAGAAGGAAAGGGACCAATGGCAAGACGAAGATATGGGTAGGTGAACAATATTAAGGTGGATCTTAGAGAAACAGGATGGGATGGAATGGACTGGACTGATCTGGCTCAGTATAAGGAACACTGGAGGGCTCTTGTGAACTTGGTAATGAATGTAAGATTTGAGGTTTTCACGGCGGTGACTATGAAGAAAGCCGTCTTCTGGGATGTGGCCCCATGTAGAAATTGTGTTAACCAACGTTTCGGAGGAATTTTTGCTCTGCTGGTTCGCTCGCGGATTTCTTCGTCTTCTACCCTGAAGATGGAGGATATATTCCTCCGAAACGTTGGTTAACACAATTTCTACATGGTGCCACATCCCAGAAGACAGCTTTTTGGTAATGAATGTTTGGGTTCCATAAAATCTGGGAAGTTCTTGAGTAGCTACACAACTGGCTGCTTCGCAAGAAGGGCTCAGCTCCATGATGAATGAATTAACCAGTAATATCCAATATGCCTGAAATTCATGTTCATCTGGCCATCATCTGCATGAAACAACTCAAGAACTGTTATACGGATTTTCTTGAAATTTTACATTGGGCAGTTTAACTACCATTTCTCAGCATATTTCAATTTTGGTAAAATCAGTGCCTAGGAATGAACACATAAAAACCAAAATTAATTTCTGCATGTATCTTGCACATAACTAGCTGAATTTAAATTCTGGTAAAATCAAAGCCTAAAAGCAGACACACAAAAACTAAAATTAATTTTTGCATGTATCTTGCACGTAACTAGCTGAATATTCATCCAAATGAAAAAGTTTTAAAGAAAAGTATATGAAAGTGAAACTCACATTTCATATCCCATACACTGTGCAGTTTTTGAGATAATGAAGCAAAATGCATTTTATGTTGTCCACAGACAGTAACAGTGAATGCACCAGAAGTAACATATTATGCAAACACTAAGTTGCCTGAAGTGGTTATCATGTAAATATGAAAGTAACAAAGAAGATTTCAACATTCTTAACGTTTTTATTAACATCCGAACCAAGAAGCCGAAGATTTTCTCATGCTTACATACTCTCCTGTACTTACAACTGTGAGCTGATGTTTTTGACTGTACATTAGGATGGCTCTGTGTATTAACCTTTAAGAGACGGCCATTTAAATTCTGGTAATGGTAGCGGGACGGAGTTAATTTAAATGCCCGCCACTGTAGAGTAATAAAAATTGTAATCATGTTACTCAAAATGCTGTGATTTCTACAATTTTTGTGATAAACGAACGAAATAAACGCTGCTTTTATCTAGAAA